TCGTATTTTTCGCATGTATCGCATTAAAGGTAGAACCGCGCCTGATTAATACTTAATTTCATATTTTAAGTGAATTAATTTGTCATATTGGTTCATATGTGCATCATTAAATCTGCCCTACATATACTGTATCTCTATATTATATTTAATTTCTGGCACATCTCAGCTGCCTTTCGGCATTAATATGCAGACATTTATTTTTCTTATTCATAATCATAAATTTATTATGCATATTCTAATATTGTCTAGATTCATAAGTAAATTGAAATTTTTGGCAGATGATAGTTTTCATTTATTTTCAATGAAAACAATGATATGTCGATTTTTGTAATTTTTTGCATTTATTTCTATAATATTGCACATACATCCCAGTTTATAATCACATATATCCTAGAAATTTTCTTAACAAACTTCAGAAAGATTTATCAAAATCCGAATAATGGTTATGGAGGAGTATACAGTGAGTGCACGTAATTTAATATGAAACTTTATATAATAGCAATAATGCTCAAATTGAATTCTACGTTTTAGTTAGAAAACGTTTGTATAAGATAAAGAATAGGGCTGTTTTAGGTTTTTTCCGGCAATTATTCGATTTTTTCTCGCCGTAAGAACCATCCTTGGCCTTAACGAATATTTAAAAAAAGAATTGGCCAAATTGGTCCAGGCGTTGTTGAGTTATGCGCTTACCAACACATTTTGCGATTCATTTTTATATAAGATAAATACTACTAAATGTTGCTGAATATCTTATTATATATAATTATATTTTATAATATAACTTCCTATATTTTATAATAATGTAACATTGTACATTTGCCAGAGAGCATTAATACATGTGTAACAAAATTTATGTTATAAGTTTATTAAACATAATTTTTTTACATCAATAACCTAAAGCACGCTTCCACAAATGGTTTAAAAATTGTTTGCTCTAGGTTTTACTAAATTATTTAAATATTTTATCATTTACCATGTGACCTTAATCCGAAGGAACAGGAAGGCCCAAAATCCCTCGTACGGTGTTTATTCGGTCGAGACTCCTCCGAGCGAAACAAGTGGTCGGCACATGTGTGAGATGTCTCAAAGGAAACATTGTGTGCCTTTAACATATATTGTCCTTGAAAGGAGCATCTTTTTCCTTTTACATCGATGGAATGGGTTCAGTAAAGTTAATGGAAAACGGTTTAGAAATCGACAAATAATAATTAATATTAATTATTAAATAACACATGACCGACACAAACTACTATGTAACTACACAAACTTTTAGGTAATGAATCTAGGGCTATTACCAGGCCAATATTCGATGGTATTGTGCATTTACTGAAAGTAATAAATATAAATAATATAATTAATATTTTCTATAATAATGAATATATTTCAAATAACATAGAGCTCTTTGTTTCTATTTCTTTACCAGGGACCTTCAAAGCCCGACCTTCTTGTCGTGATGTCACTGTCAGTATTTTTTTTCTTTTGCTCCGACATATTTCGGAAAGGCGTCATATGCATTATTGTTTTTTTTTCTTCAAACTAACCATAGTAATAATTTTTTGCTCCAGAATTTTTTTTGCACCAATTCTCAGCTGTGGGAATAACTGTGTTATTTATTCCAGCACAAGGTTCATAAAGAAGTAATTTGGACTTGTAGTAATAATGATACATAAGCTGTTCACTATAATAGAATATGTTCGTTAATTTATTAAGTGTTTTCAGGCGAAACATAGTAATAAGTCTTAAAAATCTTTATTTGTAAAGATGAATTAAATTTCTAATCTATTCTGTAAGTTATTTAATCAAATAGATTCATTTAAAAGTAGTATTTAATATTTATTTTGCCAAATAATTTGCGTTGAAAAAATAGATCATCCTTAGATTTTTAGTTTTCTACAATTTCGAGTTTTATATTATTCTACTATTCAAATTAAAAAAATCATTGTATAAATTTAGAAATATTTAACTTGAGCCGACATTTTCCAATCTTCTTTTTGTATTTTAACTAATTTCAACTTATATTAACTTAATAGCTAATATTTTAAAAATGATGAATTGTCGCCAGGTATAAAAGGACCCAGGAAGGACACGCGCTAAATTGACCCTTATGGGACACTTGAAAAGGACCATATTTGTCCTCTCTTGATTTTTGGTAGAAAGGATCCTTTGCTTAACTTTAAGCTAGGGATGGTAAATGTCTCCAAATTTCGTTATTGATAAAATTCGACATATCGATCAATAATAAGAAGTATTTATCGAATATTATGCGACTCTCTAGGGTATTTAATATTAAATAGAAGTAATATATTAAAATACATATTTTTTATAAAAACTGTACGATGCAGATTTAAAATTCATTTGCTTATTCAATACATAGAAACAATACCATCAGTTTTGCTATATTAATATTAAAAAAAATTTAACATTTCTTGAGTTTATTCAACTTATCTATTAATTCAATATAAAGAAACACATGAGCATCAGTTTTACAATTATAAAAAAAAATATAGTTAAATTTATTCATTTGTTTGTTCGATATACAGAAACACATGAGCATCGGTTTTACAAGGTTGAGTTTATAAAAAATATAATAAAAATTACAACACAAAATTCTAAAGCTTTTGATTAAAAATTTTAAAATTTAACTTGAAGTTACTTTTAATTATTTAAAGTCACATGATAGCTTTGGTACGATTTTTGGGATACTCATATAAGATAAGTTAAAGTTGGGTTAATTGAACAAATATAAATTTGCGTCCAAGTGGTTGAAGCTGTTAAAAATTTTATATCGACATTTTCCTGGTATGTTTTCAGCCTGATTTTGGTTATTTAACATATGTCTTTCATCTATATGCGGATGGGCTGTGAACACAAAGGTCCAAAAGTGGCACTCATTATCGATTCGGCCTGCAAACACTCATCTAAAGTACCTTCTAGTGGAAACAGTTGCTGCATCAGTGTTGGATTGACAAACAACACGAAAATTTGCACCGAAACGCTCTTGTCATAGATTAAATACCTACTCCATGTGTGTGGTCACAAATCAAAAATATCGAGGTTGTAGAATTTCTTAATATAAATCCTTTTTACTTTGTTACCACTTTTTTCTCGGTGTTGTTTTAACTGGTGTTAACAGCTTCTACCACCCATCAAGAATTTAAAAAAAAGTTAATCAGTTTTTCCGCATCAAGGGACACATCAATTAAATAATTGCTACTTGTGTTGTGAAGACATCTCAAAACATATACTACCTGGCCAAAACTGAAATTCTTGCGGCATGAAATATATTTAATGTTGGTTATAGAGTCGAATGGAAGGAATGAATTATTATTTCCCAATATTTATCACCTATGGTTCAGATGAAAATGTTCCCATAAAAAATGGGAATGGTAATTGCCTTTTTACCTTAAGGTAAGTTGCATAATAATTGATTTAGTTTTCACAAAAATCTAATGAGCACGATGTCTAATTGGGGGGCGTCTATTAATCAGGTGCGTTTTTAGAGGGAAGGGGGAGGGTTTTGACAAATATCACAAAATATCACGTGGGGGGGTATAGTAAGATATCACGTGTATTTATGTAATTTTTTTAAAAATTCAAACTTTTCCAAAAAAAATTCAAATATTGTACACTTTTTTCACGTAACTAAAAATACACGTGATGTTTGGTGGTGGGGGGGTAATTTTGAATATCACCATGGATCACCAAGAGGGGGAGTCCAAAATCCTTAAAAATTCGCTCACGTGATTAATGGACGCCCCCTTGATAGCATCGGGTTCAAAGTTTCTGATTAAAACGTGGTAAAATGGCTTTTAAATAGTTAAACTCGGTACAGCCATTTTAAGAAAACGTCGATGAAATTTTGGCTGACATTGGTACAAAACGATTCAGAATGACTTGAAACGTCGAGGAAACATAAAACGAGTTAATAGGCTTTTTTCGAGAACTTTTTAGGAAAATTAATTATGAAGTTTTATATAAAACTATTTTTGCTATAATTGTTGTTATCATTTTTGTCGATCTGATCGTTAAACAAATGCCACATTTTTAGTTCGGGAAAATATAAAATGATTATTATGGTTAAATGGTAATTATATTATACATAAAATCCAAAAATTCAAAAAATGTTATCCTAAAATTTAAGGGGTGTATTTAACATGGCTGCGGTGTCCGAGTGGTTAAGGAGATGGACTGAATCCATTGGGCCCTGCCCGCGAGGTTCGAATCCTGTCCGCAGCGATTGATTTGTTTTGATAATGGAAGTACCAATAATAATTTATTATCTTAATTTGATACTGTAACATAACATTAATTTCAATAGCTATTGCCTAATTCCTTATTAATAATCGTGGATCCACTAATACTAATTTATCAATTTTAACATTTTCACCTCACAATGTTATTTTGCGAGTAATCTTTACACGAGATAAAATACATATGTTTATCACATTTCAAACACAATTTCTTCATCACATGTCGTCCCATTCTTTCTCTACTTTTCTTTTAAAATCGAATCCTGATTTTACCTGTCAACAAGAGTAATCTTCTTATTATACTCGAAAGAGCTTCCATTTTTAGTATCTGGACCGTTTTCAGACCATATATTTTTTTGCCCGCTTTCATATGATTTAATCCTCTAAATCCGGTGTTGCACGGACAATTGAATTTGAGATGAAACTCGCATGTTTGTAGCCAACAATTGTTGAGTAAATGTAACACCCGCTATTGTTAAAAACTATTAGAGTATCAAATGCTTTGTACTTGAAACGTTGAAGTGCAAAAATGACACAGAGGATAGAAATTAAATGATAAAATCCTCATGTTTGTACATTATAACAATACCTTAAGCATATCTTAAGCAATATGTGAATCATCCTTGTCTATGATGTGAATTCCTTCACATTCATTTCCTTATATATGATGTGAATTCTGGTATTTTCAGAATATCAATAGATTTAATATTAAAATAATAATTATTATTAATAATTGTTTTTTCCTTTTAGGATAGGAATAGATCCTTACATTAGTTCAGGCAGTGCCCAATCAGATTCATCATGTTCCACGCCGCCTTCTTCATTAGCTTCACATTTATCACACCTTTCCTTACCAACTTCGACTGGTCCTTCAATAAGCACACCTTCATCAGGAGGAATCGCAATGCATCATGGGGAATTACCTTCGGCGGCGACTGTTCTTGGGTCTTGGGCATCCGAGGCACAAGACTCTCCGACCTGGTTTCGAAGGACATCACCTAAAGCTGACACCGGTAGGAACAAGATAACATAAGATTTTTATTTTATAACCAGATGACCTGACAGAGGTTGTTCTGTATTCATGTCTACAATTTTTTAATAAAATATACTAATATTTACCGTTTACCTAAACATAATAATTATTGTTTTTTAAATTACTCTTCACGCCAAAATGAATATACATTTATAACATGAGCGATGTTAAATGTAGAACTGCTTTAAATAAAATGATGAGTCTCAATTCTCACACTATATTGAAAATTGAAGTCATGAACTGGTACTTCATGTTGGATTAAATTAATTTAATTTTTTTATTATTTAAGATATCCATAATTGCAACTTAAACTTCTCCAATTAAGAGATTAAATCGATATCGTGAGGGCCGAATTGTATGTATTCATCTTTACTTCCCATTTGTTTTTATAAAGTGAAATTTTTACGAATTTTAAAAATATTGTGGAAAGATAAGTAAAAGATACAAAAAAATTATATAAAAAACTATATTGAAAATTTTGTATTGGCGCCCCCTAAAGCGTGCACTCGTATTTTTCGCATGCATTGCATTAAAGGTAGGACCGGCCCTGATTAATACTTAATTTCATATTTGTAATCTGCCATACATATACTGTATTTCATATTATTTTAATTTCTGGCACATCTTAGTTGCCTTTTGGCAATAATAATATAGACATTTCATTTTTCTTATTCATAATCATAAATATATTATACATATTCTAATATTGTCTAGGTTCATAAGTAAATTGAATTTTTTGGCAGATAATAGTTTGTATTGTTTTCAATGCAAACAATGACATGTCGTTGTTTACAATTTTTTTCATTTATTTCCACTTTATTGGACATACATCCCAGTACTTTATAATCACATACATGCTAGAAAATTTTCTTAACAAACTTCAGAAAGATTTATCAAAATCCGCATAATCGTTTAGGAGGAGTGCTTGTAATTTAATATGAATTTTAAATAATAGCAATAAAGATCTACGTTTTAGTTAGAAAACGTTTGTATGAGAAAAGGAAAAGGACTATTTTTAGGGTTTTCAAGGCAATTATTCGATTTTTTCTCGCCGTAAGAACCATCCTTGGACATCAACGAACATTTTAAAAAAAGAATTGGCCAAATTGGTTCAAGCGTTGTTTAGTTATGCACTTACCAACACATTTTGCGATTCATTTTTATATATAAGATTATTTTTATCGTGTTTATTTTATTATAGCTACTGCTGCAAGTATTAAATCGGAAGTTCGAAGTCCTGGTTTGGTGGATTCTTTAGAAGCCCCAGTAGCTGGTTCTTCACTCGGAGTCTTAAGTACGTCGGCTCTTGGGGTTTCGGGGATGGAAGCGACGGGGCTGTATTGCGCAGGTCCTTCGGAAAGCATGGCCTACGATCCTACTAAAGATTATTCACACCAGGCCTATCAGTATTACAATAGGTAAATAAAATAGTTGTAATCAATTTTACATACCACATATCATTTTTTTTTATTTTGTGTTATGTATTTTTGTTATAAATTATATTATATTATATTATATTGTTATATCACATATTAGTATATTTGTATTAATAAAATATCTATCATTAAAATTGTAGTTTTAAGTCCTCCTGGAGTTACTCTGTGGGCTATTTGATAAATAAATAAATAAATAAATAAATATCATTTATTATAATACCTGTCTGTTTACTATTTTCAGTATGCAGTCGTATGCCAGTAGTTCCTATATGTCCTCGGCGAGTAGTGCAGGCGCCAGTTTTTACGGGCAGACCAGCGCCTACGCGAGTTACGCGACACCAGCCCGGCCTGGCGCCTCGAGCACGGCAACGAGTAAAACGGCGATGCCGCCCAGCGCTACGCCGTCCTCATACCTCACGGCCTATCACGCGCACCACGCTACAGGTAAAAATAATAATAAACTAGTGGTGCATGGCATCGTGCCTTAAGGCAAATTGCTGAACCGTAATGAAGTATTCGAGAAATTTTAAACGTTTTCAAATATATTATTACCCATACTGTAACTTTCATTATTTTTGCTATCTTGTTATATCTGAGCAAATCAAATGCAAATAATAAATCAATTTATCTCCAGAACATTAACAATCGTCATTTCATTTCGAAATCAATTTCAAAAAAATAGTTGCTTATATATTTACACGAAATTGAAAAAGTGCTCCCGTACAGTCACAATCTAAACGTATTTGCAAATAATTCTGTGCCACATTTTCACTTATACTGTGCTTAGCTTGGCGGCATTTTCACATTTTTTAGTTTTCACAAAATTGGAAAAGTGCTCCAGAACATAGTCTAAACGCACTTGGGTAAACATTTGTTCCAGAATTTTTAATCCAAAATTACAAAAATATTTTATGAAAAATAAAAAAAAGATGTAATAATTTTTATCCTCAAAAGCAATTGTTTTGTCAATACAAGCAGAAAGTTTTTTAGATCATTCAAATCGGACGCTTAGTTCTCTCAAAAACTGCCTCAAAAAATTTTTGCACATTTAGCTCTGTATCTTCAAAATGGCGGGACCTGTCTTTACCAAAAACTAATCACCTCTTCTCCCAATCATTACAAATTGAATGTTTTTTAGATCATTCAAATCCGATACTCCGTTCTCTCAAAAACTCGATTTGTATTTTCTGCACTCTTTGCTCCGTATCTCCGTAACGGCTGGACCTGTCTTTGCGAAAAACTAAGCAGCACATCTCCCTATCAATAGGAATCGAATGTTTTTTGAATCATTCAATTCGGTTGATCCGTGCGCCCGAAAACGTGGACGAATGTTTTTTAAACCATTCTAATCGGTTGATCCGTGCGCCCGTAACATGGACGAAAAAATGCGGACATACATAAACACACACACACTATCCATTTTTTTTGAGGTATGCCAAAATGTTCAGAAACCTTCAAAACGTCGAGAAATGTAAAAATTTCCAATTTCGATTTTTGGACGATTACAATAACTTACCCTACGGGAAGTTAATATTAATTAAATAGTAATAATACAAATTGTTATGTGGATTTACTTTAACATTTGAGCTGAGTGATGGTTAACTTTTCTTTTGAAGTTCTCTAAGACTTTTTGAATTTATTCACTATCTATCCTGATGTTGCAATCCTGATGGATTGATCAGTTTGGAACGTATCTCCGACATACTAGACAAAAATTCTAATATTTATCTAATTATATCATAATTATATATTATATTTTACAATTTGCAGGAGGTAATCCTTTCGCAGTCGGTGCAGCATCAGGCCAAGCGACAAGTACACATTATCCTTCCTATGAAACTGGATACAATGGCGCGAGTTTTGTTGGAGCATCACAAACCTTTAGCAGTTCTCAGCAGGTACATTATTCATCTACTTAAATAATTTATTTAAAATACACGTAGTAATATTTAATTATTAATTAATTACAGCCTACTGTAGATTATGGATATTCTAGTTATGCGGATACGCAATATGGTTATTACGCTCAAAGTTATAGTCCTTACGTGAGCTCTCCTGGCTCAAGTGGGAGTGTGGGGGCCCCATCCTATCATTTGACTACTGGATTACCAGGTAAATTTAAAACTAATTCATTATTTTAATGAATCAACAAGTGTTTAATTAGTTTGCCATCAATTCGTTGTTAGTTGGAATATCTCGAGGTAGGTGACGCACGTTTTTAAAATTATCAGAACAGCGTCCTGTCAACCTTAAAGTTTGTAAGTTGTGACAGGACATTCTTTATAAATCAGGATATTTCATTAAATAGATATATACATTGGTGCGTCCCTAATGAATGACATTGTGCCAGCAGAAAAGACATTAGTTTTAAATATTAGTATAGTAAAATATAGAATGTCTGATGGCAGTGGTTAGTATTTTTGTTAAAAATATTAAGAAAAAAATATTTTTAATGTATTTAATATATTTATTAGATATATATTGGTATACCTAAAACATATTGTATCTATTATCCTTTTAGAATCTCCTACATCATCTCTAGCAATGCCAGATTCAAAGCCTCTATATCCTCTGAAAAATGAGACCCGTATTTCAAAGGCTAGAAGTGAACCTTATTCAACACAACCCGAATCTAGTAAATCAACATCTAGTTCTAGAGGTCGAGGGAGAAAACAAACGAGCACATCACCGACTACAGGGACTATTTCTGCATCTTCAACAAGTAGTGAAAGTGGTGTTGAACGGGTGTTCATTTGGGATTTAGATGAGACTATTATTATATTTCATAGTTTACTAACAGGATCTTTTGCATCTAGACATAATAAGGTAGTAATTAAAATAGATGAATGGATTATATATGTTTATAGATTTGAATACTGATTGTTATATGTTTTTCAGGATGCTCAACATCTTGTACAGTTAGGATATAGGATGGAAGAGATGGTGTTTAATATGGCAGATAATCATTTCTTTTTTAACGATGTTGAGGTTTGTTGAAATTTACTTATATTTAACTCCACTACACCATTTTGATTATATCTATATAGAGTTTTAATAAAATTAATATATTTTTAGGACTGTGATCAAGTGCATATAGATGATGTATCATCAGATGATAATGGACAAGATCTTACATCATACAATTTTACTACTGACGGTTTTCACATGGCAGGTAAGATAAATGAAATAAAGTGTTGGAGACATAATTTTCCTATGCATATTATTAAATTACATTATGTAGTTTACTAATTATGAATAAGCTTGACAAGATAATTCATAAATCAAATTATATGTGATATAATTTCTTTACAATAACACTTCTTTATTAAACTAGGTACTGTTGGGGCGAGCACAACCACTCTGACTGGTGCCACTCCTGCAGCCAGTGGAATCAGTTTAGCATCAGGAGTTCGTGGAGGTGTTGACTGGATGAGAAAATTAGCATTTAGATATAGAAAAATTAAGGATACTTACACAAATTATAGAAACAGGTAATATTATTATTTACAATATTTCTATCTGGTCTTTTATAAATATTTCTTGAAACTAAGAATTAAATTAAAATAATACTCTTATTTTAGTGTTGGTGGTTTACTGGGTGCAGCAAAACGTGATCAATGGCTGCAATTAAGATCTGAAATTGAAGCACAAACAGATAATTGGTTAACCTTGACCTGCAAATGTTTAAACACAATAGCTGCTCGCACAAGTCACGTTAATGTTTTAGTAACTACGACTCAATTAGTGCCAGCACTTGCCAAAGTTCTACTTTTTGGTCTAGGCGGAGTGTTTCCTGTAGAAAATATTTATTCTGCTACAAAAATAGGTAGGATAAATGATAATTTGAATGGATATAAGTTGATTGATGGATAAATACATATTTTGCAGAGTCAGTAAACAAATTGTTTATTTTTTTAGGTAAAGAAACATGTTTTGAGCGAATAGTTACTAGATTTGGCAGAAAATGTTCTTATGTAGCTGTAGGCGATGGCCAGGATGAAGAAACAGCTGCAAAAGCTTTAAATATTCCATTTTGGAGGATATCTGGTCACAATGATGCTATTAAAATGTATGAGGCATTAAGCATGGATTTCTTATGATGTGCTTTTGTGATGGTCTGTTTTACGTACTATATTATGATAGCATGAATGGGACAAGAATTAAAAAAGACTTCTTTAAGTAATTCCTAATTTTTGAAATAGTTTTTATTTTTGGCAGTTGTTATAGCAAGGCTACATGCTTTGTTAATTCATGAGTTACCTTTGCAAGCATATAAAGTTTAAATTTTATGTCAATCCTGACATTACCTAGATAATAGTGTGAGGCGCTGCCAATAAAATTTTAGCCTTTGTGTATCTAATACAATTTTAATCGATTTGTTCTCCACTTAGTTGATGAATGGACCCAAAATATTTTTACGGAGCTATATAAACATATTATTTTATCGGTTAGTATTTTATTTTTTGTCTGATAACTGCCTATTTAGGTTAGTGAATATTTGTTAAGAAATGTGAATAACGAACTATTCCAATTGTATAAAAGTAGCGACAGTCGCGTAATCGCGCCTTGTGATATAAACTATAATTTTAATAATATATTACATAAACAATTGCATATTTTATGCAATTTAATAACCAAATAATAAATGTTAGATAGAAAGATTTCATCTATCTCAATGTTGCTGTTGAATATTGAATTGAGATTACATCAGCTTTGAGTACAAGTCGGATATGTATAAAACTAAAGTACTTTGAATGTTATTAGCCAATACAATAAATCAAGTGTACATATAGATATATTATTAAGCCAACAATTTTACAACATATCTATCTATCGCGCACTTATGTATAAAGTATTCATTAAAATGAGAGTTATTGCAAATTTTTACTCATTTTTAAAAAGGCCTGAAAAGTACTTATTTATAAAAACGTTCATGGTGTTTATGAACTTCAATGTTTGAAAATAATTAATTTATAAATAAGTTCGCACAAGTTCAAGGCTCAATAAAAAGAAACCAATTAATCTTAAGATGTTTTGAAAAACTCTTTTGTAAAAATATTGGCTTCATCATGTCTTTATTTCCAAAATCACAAATTTTATTAACGCTTAAAAAGAATCACACAACTAAATAGTTTCGACAATTCTGTTTTAAGTTATTTTACAGGCATCTTCCGTACCTAAAATAGATATAATTTAACTTTAAGTAATTAAAACGCTCAATTTCAGAGCTAGTAGAAGTTGTTAATAAGAAATTTTTTATTTGTACACAATTTTCAGTGTATAATTAATGACTAGTCGTTCATTAGATTAAATGTACATTTTATATGAGAGGTAGCATATATAATATTAGTTTACAATTTTGTTACAGATAATTTTGAATTATAAAAAATACTAATTATATATTCCAATTAGATGTTGGAATATTTGTAAATATATACATTCTATGTAATATACAAATATATATATATTAAAGTGTATAATAAATTCTCTATATGATTATAAAAAATACTTTACATTTTAGTACTTTATTAGTTTAGCTACAGGGTATTTTTAATTACAAATAATATTTACTATTTTTAGTTAGGGTTAAATCTATTAATTATAATCAATCATTTCTTGTATCGAAGTCTTCAGAATCTCTCAGTTCTACTAGTCGACGATGGTCCAGCAGCAACTGCTTGTTTTTCTCTGGACTAACAATATATATATACATACATATATATATATATATATATATATATATATACATTACATATATAATTTATATATAAACTTACGTTTGTATGTATACAAGGCTTTTATAAGCACCATATATCCAGCACATTGCTACGGCTCCATAGCATACAAAATAATAAACTGGTTGCTGTGTGCTAAGTTTTGGATATAATTGTTTTATATGTTTGGAGCCAATTCTTAATTTAACCTAAATGGTAAAATAATAAATTTAAATATATGATCTTCAGCTAGCTAGCTAGATATAGTTATTAAAAATGATTAGTAGATGATTAACAAAATTGTAGATTGTTAATGATTTGCTAATTTTATTATATAATGTTTACAAGGTCTTTCTTGAACCATCTTGACCAATTTGGCATCATTTTTTTCGTAACCCTTTTTTTAAAATTGTTTTCTTAAACTTCTTTGTTCGAACCTAAATAAGGTTGTATTGATATTTTATTAAATTAATAGTGATTAATTTTTATGAAAAATGCAAATTGGTATTTTAAGTTCGATCTTCACGTTCCAGAAATTAAATCTAATATGCCATACCTCGTTAGGAACTTTAATAGAGATATTTTCGGGCAATTTGAGGACCCTCAAACTTTTCATAAGTTTTAGTGTCGACATTTCTTCGTGAAACATCATTTTTGCATAATCTGAACAAGAAAGTGTGTAGAATGTGGACCCTAAAATAAAATTTATAGTCTAATTTCTGGATCATGAATTCGAATCGATTTTTAAAGAGATTTTCTTGAAGTACCTCGTTTCAGCCGATCTTTCCATTTCTTAAGTTTAGCCAGGTTTTCATTGCGCAATGGCATTGGATAATTGTGTTTGAAATTATACAATTTTTTTAAACGTTTAATTTTTAAATTTTTTTTGACCCTTGAAAGCCAAAAATTTATAAATATGTCAGAAAATAATCATGATGAAGCTTATTACGTAGTGGGCCGGACTACTTGGATAAATGGATAACAAAACTTGGATAAATCATTTAAAATATCTAAATTTGAGAGTAATGGTCCTTTGGATTTTGATTGTGTTTGATATGATTAAGAATAACTTATCATTTATTATGATTATATGCATATAGTTATGGATTCTCGCAAAAAATGGCAATGTGATATATATGAATTATTAAATTTGGCATTATTTTTATACATTTATTAATTACATTGAGTACATGTCAAAATACAATTGAGTCTTAAGATCACATGGTCAATTCCATGATGGCATTAACAATATCTTTATCATTACGAAGAAGTGCTCGAATAGCTCTGGTTCTGCTCACATTGGCCTGGGACATCACCAATTCGACATCCTTTTCCTCTAGGCCAAATGCAGGATTATCATCAGAATCTGAATCATCAGAGTCAGTACAGACAGCCGCCGAGCTGCATATTTCTCGACCATGGGTTATACCCAAACAATTAGCCTGAAAAATAGGTGTATGCTTAGTGTTTTTTCCTAATAAATCTAATAAACAAATTAAATAAATCTACCTTAAATCTCTCTGCAGCGTTCATTTGCGCTTGCTGAGACAAATCTTCTATCTTAGCTTCGCCCAAAACAATATAAGTATCACTGTGGTGGGTTTTAAAAACGGCCGGATTTGTTATAACAAACAATATATTTTTATTTTTCCGTATTGTTACGCGAACGATACCCGGGACGGGTCGAAGACCTAATTTGGAAATCATTTTTCGGGCTTTTTTCTCAGCTCTAGATGTTTTTGCTTTTCCTTCCGAGTGCGTAGCTCCTGATGTCCTGCTGAAGGAAGTGCTGACACTATTTTCCGTAATATCCGGGGCCTGGTCATCGGAATCACTGTCACTTGCAGCCGTTTGAAATGTTCCAAAGTTTGCATCTACGCAATTTAATTCAGTTATATAAGGCATTCTGATAATGTCCAATTACTGTTCGCAATTTATAAACTGATTATCTGCTAATTTGTAAGTGTATCTTAGACCCGATGACGCAGAATATTTTGTTTTGTTTTATGAAGAAAACAAATACTTTCAAAGTGTGCTGGGATACGTAAGTATATTTAAAAACTAAAATTATTTATAAAGAACTTTGAATGTGCTGTAAAAGGACTTTGAAAATGTTTCAAAAGGCGCGCTGGCGCGCTCTTTTCTCGTCAAGTTGCCTTCCCTGACAATATTAATCACCCTACTTCAACTTTGTTCATAGGTTATGTTTCTTTCAATAACAACTGTGAGTAACCGGTTAAATTTCGCTCGAATTTATTGCACAATTTTAATATTAAACATAGTTAAAAGTAATTTTCAATATGGAAATTAATGATGCTAACTTGCAAACGTTATCTGAGTACTTGCGCCAAACATTAAGTCCTGACCCAAACATCAGACGTCCAGGTATTTACAGACCTTTAACGTATTTCTGATAACGATATCATTGAACTAAAAAAATATTCTATCTTTTGCAGCTGAAAGATTTTTAGAAAGTGTCGAAGTAAATCAGAATTACCCAATTTTATTATTAAATCTAATTGATAAGGCTGGAGTTGATGATACTATTCGAGCCTCAGGAGCTATCGCTTTTAAGAATTATGTCAAAAGAAACTGGGAAATTGTAAGAAATATATTTTTTATTTATTGAACTATTAAATTTACACAAAATCTACTTCAGCTTCCAGATTTTCCTGATAGAATCCATGCACAAGATCGAACCGCAATCAAACAACTTATTGTAACCTTGATGTTAAAAGCTCCTCCGGCAATTCAGAAACAATTAAGTGATGCTGTTAGTATAATAGGAAAACATGACTTTCCTAATAAATGGCCGGAGTTGATAACAGAAATGACAGACAAATTTGCCACAGGTACAATGAAATACATATTCTTTTATAACAATACTATATTAATATATATTTGGTTCTTCAGGTGATTTTCATATAATAAATGGAGTGCTACATACAGCACATTCATTATTTAAGAGATACAGATTTGAATTCAAATCTCAAGAACTGTGGGTTGAAATTAAATATGTGCTGGATCGCATTGCAAAACCCTTAACAGATTTGCTTGAGGTAGGAAATTATTCACCATACTATCAGTAATATAAAAAGCAATATATTAACTTAACTCTTTATTGCAGGCTACTATGAATTTAACAACTGTTCATGCTGGCAATCAAGCAGCTCTTAAAGTTATTTATGGATCATTGGTTCTTGTTTGTAAAGTATTTTTATCATTAAATTCCCAGGATTTACCTGAATTTTTTGAAGATAATATGAAAACTTGGATGACTGCATTCCACACTATGCTCACAACCGACGTACCTTGTTTGCACACTGGGGTTAGAATAATTTTAACATTTATTTTATCTTCTTTTATAATCTATATAAAATGAATGTTTTTATGTAGGATGCTGAGGAAGCTGGCGTTTTGGAGCAATTGCGATCAGAAGTGTGCAATTGTTTAGCAATGTATGCTTTAAAGTATGATGAAGAATTTGGGCCATACATGCCTCAATTTGTCACTGCTGTTTGGGGACTTCTTGTTGGAACGGGTATACAGCCCAAATATGACTCAGTAAGCTCAATATTATATATTGATAGTACTTATTCTAATAGTAAATATTCTAGAGTATATTTAAATATAATGTATACTTTATCTAGTTAGTATCAAATGCCTTACAATTCTTGGCAACAGTGGCTGCAAGAAATCACTATAAACATTTATTTGAAGATCCAAATGTTTTATCTAGTATTTGTGAAAAGGTTATTATACCAAACATGGACTTTAGAGGTTTGTTTAAGTAAATTTATGTTGTATCTACATTCATATAAAATATGAGAAAGTTGCAATACTCATGTTTATATATAATTTTTTTAATAGAATCAGATGAAGAATTGTTTGCTGAAAATGCAGAAGAATATATAAGAAGGGATATTGAGGGATCAGATGTTGACACCAGACGAAGAGCAGCTTGTGATTTAGTTCGTGTTCTATCAGCAAATTTTGAAGCCAAAATCTTTGAAATTTTTGGACAGTATCTTCAGGTAAAACAATGGATATATTCTGTTTCATTATTATTATCATTATTATTATTTTAATTATTTATTTTTAGGTGATGCTTGAAAAATACTCTTCAAATCCACAACAAAATTGGAAAGCTAAGGATGCAGCATTATATTTAGTTACTTCTTTGGCATCTCGAGGTGCCACACAGAAACATGGTGTTACTTCAACATCAGAATTGGTCTCTATTCCACAATTTTACAAGCAACATGTTGCTCCTGAGTTGGAACGACCTGATGGTAAAAATTTATTAAATAAAATTACGCCAAACATACATAAAAGTTACATTTAAATTACAGTGAATGCTTTGCCTGTCTTAAAAGCTGATGCTTTACGTTACTTGATGACATTCAGAGCAGTTTTGGGGGCTGAAGTATACACAACAGCTACAATTAGTCACGTAATTAGGCATTTATCTTCTAATAGTGTTGTTATACACACATATGCAGCTAGCACATTAGAAAAATCTCTAATAATGAGAGATAGTAATGGACAGCCTTTGTAAGATTTTAAATGATAAATAATTAAATAAGGAGAAATAGATTATATTCAATTCAATTGTAGGTTGTCGAAGGCACATCTAGCTCCAGTGGCTGGTGATCTTCTGAGTGGTTTATTTGGAACTCTCTCACATGAGGAATCTCAAGAAAATGATTATGTGATGAAAGCAATAATGCGCAGTTTTTCAACATTACAAGAGGCAGCTTTGCCTTTCATGGGTGCAGCACTGCCAAGGCTTACAAAAGCCTTAGAAACTGTAGCCAGGAATCCATCAAGGCCTCATTTTAATCACTATCTATTCGAGACACTGTGCTTAGCTATCAAGTAATCATACTTTTATTCTATGAGTAAGTAATCTTTTATGAAATATGATTTATCTTTAATTTAATTTTAGGATTGTTTGTAAATCTGATAACAATGCAATTACATCATTTGAAGAAGCCTTGTTTCCATTATTTGAACATATACTTCAGCAAGATGTGCAAGGTTTGTTGAATAATATTATTTTCATAAATTCACATACTCGCACATTATTTAATATACTGTTTCTGTATAGAGTTCATTCCCTACACATTTCAAATGTTGTCTTTACTTTTGGAATTGAGAGCTGCCGGAACAGGAGTGCCTCCTCCATACATGGCATTGTTCCCTTGTTTATTAACACCAGCTTTATGGGATAAACCAGGAAATGTTAAACCATTAATGAGATTGTTATGTGCATTTATTAGTAAAGCAGCAAATGTTTTAGACCAGCAACAAAAATTGGTAAAGTATCAATAATATACATTTATTTCTTATTTTCATTACTAATTATATATCTTTTTAAATGTAGAATGGTTTACTGGGTGTTTTCCAAAAAATGATTGCCTCAAAAGTGAATGATCATGAAGGCTTTTATTTACTACAAAATCTCCTAATATATTATCCAATGTGAGTATGTGAATCAAACCTACTTATCAATTTATAAATTAATCATTTGATTTTGATCATAATAGGGCTTCTCTGGAACCTACATTAAAACAAGTATTCTTATTGCTGTTCCAAAGGCTGTCTTCTACTAAAACAACAAAATTTGTTCGTGGATTAATTGTATGGTTTAGTTTATTCTGTGCTAGGACTTCTCCAGATAAATTGATTAATATTGTAGATTCAATTCAAGCACAGTAAGAAAGCAATTACTTCAATTTAAAGATTGTGTTCATGTAATATTAATTAAATCCATTTTTAGAATGTTTGGAATGGTATTACAAAGAGTATTGATCACAGACTTACAAAGAGTTAGTGGGGCATTGGAAATAAGATTAGTTGCTGTTGGTACAGCACGATTACTCTGTGAAAGCAGTGAAATGATAACTGGCCAATATCGTCAATATTGGAAGCCACTAATGGAGGTATTTAAAGCATAAATATTGTAAAGAAAACTTGACATTAAAATTTAATTTAAATTAGGCTTTAGTCCAGCTCTTTGAGCTACCAGCAGATGAATCTTTATTACCAGATGATCATTATGTTGAAATTGAGGACACACCCGGATATCAAGTGGCTTACAGTCAATTAAATTATGCAGCCGAGGGTCAATTAGATCCTCTGCCAGGTATAAAGTTTAATCAACTGTTTATTATTTTATACATTCATTAGTTACACCCAGAAATTAATTTTTATAGATGTAAAGGATCCAGTAAAGTTTCTGGCAGAAAGTCTGGGTCGTTTATCAGCATCAAATCCAGCAATAGTACGAGAGAATATTATGAGCTTGTCTCCTAATTTTAAACTGGCTATAGAAAAATACTTGTCGCAGAGCGGAGTACAAATAGCATAATTTTAACCTTTTCTTTTTAAGTTTGAACATATTTCTGATAACTATGTTTGTAATATTATTTAAATAAATTGTTAATTTTACTATGTGTTGTTTAATTTATTATTCTTGTTCTGTGCAACGGGTCATATAAAATTCCTGCAACAATGAATGTAAGGTTTATGCATAAGTAATATTTCTGTTCTATTAATAACGCAGTAACGTAATTTGAGATGCATACATTACTCATGCATTAATAATTAACTTAAATAATTGAATGTGTACGGAGAAATTCGACCAAAATATCCTTGAAAGATTTTTAGGCCATTTCATTGAATTAGGTCACATTCATTTAGGTTCAATTGTAAAATACCTTTTCTTATAAAGAAATACCACAAATTAATAACATTTTCTCAAACAACAAAAGTAATTAATAAAAAATTAAACTAGTTTAATTATCATTTTCACTACATGTTAAATTTTTTATAAGATAGATTTGGATAGAATTCCGTTGGATTTTAGTAAGAATGAGTCCTTTTCCCCACATGTGGCAACACCATCGGTTGAAACTTCAGTGTATCATTCTGACAACACTTCGAAAATTTAATATGGCAAATAATTAAACACAAACAAGATCAACATTCCTAAGTATCCGTAGTTAATAAGAGTAACTGGATAATTTGAAATATTCGTAAGTGCCCTTATTGCATGTTATTTTCGTATCGTTTTAAGTGCAAGTGTCAAAGTACCGTTTTTCTATAAAGTTGTTTGGTTTACCTGTATAATTTAGGTTAAGGGGTGAAAGTTTTTTTAAAATGGCGCTGTGATTATTCTAAATTCTGTTTTCGCGAATTAATTTTAACGTAGTGTGCATCCAATTTCGTAAAATAGTTATAGTTTACTTAAAGAATCATCTTTATTTGCAGCTTGTAGTATTTACGAACTGTGGTAAAATGGGTGACCAACAATTTTTCTTAAAATGGAATGATTTCCAAACTAATATGGTGACATCGTTTAGGCATTTACGCGATGAAAAAAGCTTTACTGATGTAAGTACTCACATTATTTTATGATTTGTTACAAAAATATTGAATAGTGTCTTAATATATTCTCTTTTTCATAGGTTACTCTTGCTTGTGAAGGACAAACCTGCAAGGCTCACAAAATGGTACTTTCTGCATGTAGCCCTTATTTCAAAAGTTTATTGGAGGTATGTAGTTTAATTTTCATTATTAATGACTATTATATGCAAATAATATATTTGCATATATTACCTTTAATTTGCCATTCTGATGTTGAACTATCTAATTGTTGTGATCAATTCGGTTTACACGTGTGGTACAAATGTATTTCACGTTTTTTCTAATAATTATTAGAAAATAGGGTTTTTGCCATATTTTTAATATTTGCCACACATTTTTTCAAGGATATCTTTTCCTGTGTGGAAAAATCTAGTATTATTATTTTTGTGGTTGTTGATTGTTTATTTTTTTCCCTCTTGTGACTTAGTGGTTTTATTCTGTGATCAAAAATGAATATAATGAAAGCAACACATTCTATTTGAAATATCAGTGAACATTTTTTGGTGCCAAGTTATTGCATGTCAGAATAATAAGCAAGAAAGAATATTTAATTTCTTTTTTGGATCATGAAATATCGGTGTAAATTGGCATTATGTAACAATGGTCTCAATTCCAGGAAAACCCTAGCAAACATCCAATAATAATATTAAAAGATGTATCATATTCTCATCTGCAAGCGATCCTTGAATTCATGTATGCAGGTGAAGTGAATGTATCTCAAGAACAATTGCCTGCATTTCTGAAAACAGCTGATCGCTTAAAAGTAAAAGGCCTGGCTGAGGCCCCACCATCAATCAAGAGGGAGTAACAAAAATACTCATTATGGAATGTATTTAAGATCAAACACATTCCAATTGGAAAAGTGTGTGTGTCGCATATTATTTACTGTTAAACATAAGCCAGCCCCCTTGACAGTATAGGTCCTGATACTTTTGTATGAGAACTTAGTTACTCAACATTCTTTATAGGTCCCTAAAATTATCTAAGTTGTTAGCGGTTTGCATGAGCCAACAAATAACATTTTCAATATGATAGTGCTACATATATTTTTAAACCCATGCCATTTTTAGACAATTAAGTATATCTATCATATCATATTGAAAATGCTTTGTGATAGTTTTTCCTTGAGTGCTACTAGCATCACATTTTTTGACAATGATTTATGACATAATTTTGAATAGAGTGTCCTTTCTTTTGATGACATATATGTTAAGTTTTCTTTTGTAATTATATTCGGTTTAATATGAAATAGTTTAATTCTAATTCTAGCTGTGTAATGTTAGTGTGATTTCATTATAATTTAATTTAGATTTTAGTTACTGCAGTTTATTAGTTCATGAAGTTACAATTGCATTAAAAAATGTCTGCTCTAGACACTCGACTTATATAAAACTAATCTATGACTACTGTCTTGTGGTTATGATCTGTACGGTTGCTTTTATAATGCTAATGTATGATAATATGATTTCATTCCCAAACTCTCATATTTCCAAATTCATAGACACGTATTATATACTCACATTCATATTTAGTGCTCTATTTTATTGATCATAAAGCATTTAGCATAATTTTTAAACCAAACCTTTAATTTGTATTTAATTTTTATCATGGTAGGTGCTGAATATGTTTGTGGTTTTTGATGTCTATGATAAAGAATCTCTATTTGCACAGCAATATTTTAGTACACATAAACCTGAAACGTAGTCATATAAATAAGTGCTTTATTTTTTTTTTTGTTTTATAGGTCAATGCATAAATTGACAAAATATGCCCACTTATACCAAATGAAATCTTATTATATATATTATCTCAAACTCAGTTTGTCAGTATTGGTCAACGTTAAGATATGTGAAAATAATTATTATTTCTCAAAATATGCTATAGATATTTTTTTATTATATGCTTATTTGTGCAAATGTGTATCGAAATAAAAATATACTATAAGATTTGTAAATTACACAGATTAATTTTGATATTTTAGGAATATAAGATTTGTGTACTTTGAGTTAAATGACAGAGTAATTGTTGGTGAACGATTTGCACAAATAATTTTGTATCGGTATGAATTTTTTATGAAGACTATTTGTTTGCTTGGGGTATTGGGTGTTGCATTTTATAAAATTAAAAATAAGAGTTAAGAAAGTATAAAAATAATTGATAGGTGCCTTGGTTGGTTATTGATTGAATAGCAATCAGAAAAAGTATTAATCAAAATTAAATTATACTGCCTACAACTGTAACAGTGCTTGAAATAATCTGATCTGCTATTTGCAGTTGTTTTTAAAAAATTTAAACCGGTACAAAATGTTTTGAGCATATCATTCCCTTCCCTAATTTTATTTCAAAAAAATGTGGATAGTACTTTATGTATAGAGTAAATATTTTATATTTCAAAGATTTTACAATAATTAAGACATTTCATTAAATATGTATATCGATAACAATGAATATAATTAGATATATTGATATTGTTTTAACATTTCATATATCCTTGTCGTTTATTCATTTTTATCTATTAAAATACTTATTTGGTAACATTATAAATACTACAACTAGATAATAAGTTAATCTTTATTTTCAAAGCGATGTTCCTGTTGAATTAGTTTTTTCAGTTCCTTGCGAAGTGTTTCAGGCAAGTCCAATGGATCAACATCTTCTTCTTTCGATAACATCTTTACCAAGCACATATAAGACAAAGTCCTGAGGTCTCGTAAAGGAGCGCTTATTTTAATATTTAATCTGCACATATTGAGGTGTTCTGGTGGCCTTCTTACCCTGTTCATATACCCAGGTTCTGGGTAATATATTCTTTTGCCTCCTGTTAAAAATCTTTCTTTATTTTTCACATCGAGGCTTATCCAAGGATGTCCAACGAATGTGTTTACATTTACAAATTCAGAAGGATTTAGGATCTTGTAAAGGGCTGTAAGACCATTGTAATTTATCCAAAATACTGCTATTTTTCTATCTGAGCAGTTGATGAATCTTATATACTCCTTGGTCTTTGATTCTTGAGATTTTACTCCTATAAGATCATAATTATCTGCCATTGTGAGGACATTATTGAATGTATTTTATCACAGATTGTTTTGTTGGACCAAATTTGCTAAGTAAGGCAACCAAAATGCCGCATGTTTGGAGTAAACATGCTTTGACATTGACTGTCATTGGGTGGTCCGTCAGGTTATATTTCATTAGATGGTGTGGGACTCTGATATCCAATATTGGAATCAAGTGAAACTATTTAATAGAACATAAAAGAAATATGTTACAGTTTTAAACCTAGAAGAAGACAAAATCAAGTTTCATTGCCCTGGACAAGCCATACTTGGAATGATTAAATTTATACTCTGTTAAATAAACTATTATTCTATACCTCTTATGCTTATTTATCTAGGCCAGGGGTCGGCAAGCTTTTAACTGTGGTGTGCCAAGCCACTCTACCAATATGATTCAGGGTGCGCCTTAATTCTAAAATATATAATTAGGTTCTAGGGGAGAAGAATTATAACAAAATTTATCTTTTAAATATATTTATTAACAAATAACAAAATTCTGCTATAAACTAAACAATTTTAATGCGAACCTTGTCCCTGCACATGCCTGCTTAACATTTCATTATCCGGGGTATAATTTATAACTTATTTTAATTAAACATAAGATTCTGAATGTTTAGTTGTTCAACGACTTCTTTGATGAGACATCATGTGAGAAAACGTATATTCACAGAGATATGTGGAACCAAAAGTTGAAAGGAGAGCGCATGCAATTTTCTTTAAACAATTAAATCTTTTCGGCAATGTCATCCAACAATTTAATATGGATGTCGATTTTTCCATAGAGTCATCTTCTAGATTTTTTTGTAATTCCTTAAATTTTGTTTTTCATAATTCTAAAGATTTTAGTTCGATAAGAGATTGATAAATATATCGAGACGAAGTGATTTTTAAATAAGAGAAAATCTTAGAAATAAATAAACTAAAAAAAAAATCAAAATAAATATCAACATAATAGATAAATTTTCAAAATTCATACACTCGAAAATTTAAAAATCAAACGGTATTATTGATAGATCTATTAAATCTGATTTTATGAGGAAGGAAAATATAGGCACATAAGCTTCAAAGTCTTTGCATCTTCTGGAAAATTCATCTTTAAGTGCTTCAACGTAGGTTGAATTACATTAGCGAGCTACGTTAGATAAATAATTATAATTAAACATTTTCTATTATTAACTTCCCGTAGGATAGTTATAGTAATGGGCCGAAAATCGAAAATGAATTTTTTTGCATTTCTCGACGTTTAGAGAGTTTCTGAACATTTTACTGGCATACCTCAGAAAAAATGGATGTATGTGTGTGTGTTTTGTGTGTCCGCATTTTTTCGTTCATGTTTTCGGGCGCACGGATCAACTGATTTGAATGGTTCAAAAAACATTCGATTTCTATTGATAGGGAGATATGCTGATTAGTTTTTGGCAAAGGCAGGTCCACCCGTTGCAGAGATAGAGAGCAAAGAGTGAAGAAAATAGAAATCGAGTTTTTGAGAGAACGGAGTATCCGATCTAAAGAACATTCAATTAGTGATGATTGGGAGATGTGTTATTAGTTTTTGGCAAAGGCAGTCCCAGCCATTTTGAAGATACAGAGTTAATTAAACAAAAAATGACAGTGTTTGAGAGATATAAGCATCCGAATCGAATGATTCAAAAATCTTTCTGCTTGTGTTAACAAAACAATTGCTTTTGAAAAAAAAAATATTTTATTTTTTTTGTATATCGAAAATAATTCAGATTTCAATTTTAATTCTAGCTAAAGTTTTAAAGCTTACTTATATTAATTCTTATAGATATTAGGCAATGTTACAGTATTTATAGTAATATATTTGAAAACATTTAGTATTCCTCGAACATTTGGTTACGGTACAGGAAGTTCCAGCAATTTGCCTTAAGGCACGATGTCATACACCACTAGTTTGAAAACTACTTCGTCTTGATATATTTGCGATTTTCCTGATTACTTTGTAGAGTGCCATCCAGAACCCCATCGCGTGCATAGGTTGCCGAAGCCTGATCTAGGCTATACCTTGTACAATTGCTGGTTCTTATATTTGCTCAAATTATTCACAATTGACAGTTGACTAAAGAGTCCTCCTTTCCCTCGTGAGAGATCGCCACGAACACGAACTCCCTCCAACTAAATCTTACCCTACCGAAGGGCTCGACACCCCAGTTCATATCAGTATTATTTTGCCCACGTGCGAGCGCGGTGCGGCGAATTTTTGATTCAATCTAAACATCGCGAAAATAATTCTCCGATATTTTTATCAAATAAGTGCTTAACTTTATTGATAAAGTAATGCTCTGTTTTATTTCGAAATGTGAAAAAAATATATTTAATAATTCGTGCACGTGCACTACTATTTCAATCATCAACATACTATCCTAAGTGATTTTTACCATGTGATCCATATATTTTATTTCCGAGATGAATTTATACTGGTGGCGTTATTATCAGTAAATCAGCTTAAGATCAATTGAAGAAATTATGGCAAATAGGGTGTTAAGCACATGTGCTTTTCTAGTGTTGACAATAGTTTGTTCGGTTCGTCCTGGTGAAGGATTAAAGTGCGTTTGCAACAGTAGTGAGTGTGAAGTGATTAAGCCGAAGCAATGTCCTGGCCGCGGACTTATTGTTTTGGATCCTTGCGAGTGAGTAGGCCTACGAATAAATGATTGATAATACAACTCAGACTATGTATATATATTTAGATAAAAACACAAAAGGTTTTAACAAGCATCCATCGAGGTGTTGGAAAGAAAAAGAATGTTAACACATGGTTGTAGTACGTTTCACACATCGTTGCAAATTTATTCTTATTGCATAATTTTTAATACAAATTTTTACTAATGGAGCACTGTATCGTGCCTTAAGGCAAACTGCTGAACATCCCGTACCATATTTTAAAATTAAGTTATTTTTTCGAGAACTTTGGAAAAAGTTGAATTTTTTTTTAAAGCAATTTGGCCTCACATTGGTAAGGAATCCATAGAAATGTAAACAATATTTGTACATATTATTAAATATTCTACATTATATTTGATAATTTGGATTTACAAAACCGTTGGACTTGCCTTTCCAAAAATTTCACCAGTTTTTTATTTTATCTATACAATTTTTTTTTGAATCATTTAAATCGGACGCTCTATTCTCTCGGAATCGTCGAATTACCATTTTTGGCACTTTTTGCTCCGTATCTTCGAAACGGCTGGACTTGCCTCAGCAAAAAACTATTACCTACCGACACAGATGTGTGTTTTTTGTTAAAAAAACATAATTTAGATTATACTTTTTAATATCTTGATGGACGTCTGATATTTTTTTGTCTAATATAAAAATCAACATTTCACTATTTTGCAGCAATAATATTTATTTTAACCAAACAATAAAATATTTATTCTCAAATTAGCTTTGCGATAAAAAGTTAATAATTGAACACAATTTAGAATAAAAATTCTAAATTTGGAAATTAAAATGAATATTTAATAATTTGTTAAAATATATATTTTTGCTGAAGATTTTATATTATAAAATAATTGATGTTGGAATTAAAAAAATAAAAAAAATAAAAATCATTGGGACAGTGTTTTATTGTTACATTATTTATAAAGTTATTGATACAGGCATCCAATCATTTAAAAGAAAATCTAATTTCTTTTTGTTTTAAACCAGCAATCAAAACTTAAACCTTTAAATATTTATATATCTATATTTGATATATTTTTATTACTAGAATTCATCTAATTAAAGTCAAATCAAATCTTTATTTAAATTCTTTATTAAAGTGAATGGCATAAGCCAAATAGCTCATAGAATAGTCATGTATTCTGATTGCTATTGAAAATAAAAATTAAAAAAAAAAAAAAATCTTTATTAAAGTTCTTTTTTTATTTGAAAACATAAAGTTGCAAATCCAAGGCTCTCACCACGTAGCCAAGGGGATGCTCAAAAACTAAGTTATGTTAAATTTTTGTTGAAATGTATTCAGGATTATTATTATTTTTTTTAAAAAAAAAAAGATATATTTTATCTAAACCGGATATTTTATAATTTATCTGGTACTAATATACCAAAATTAACTTATCTATAAATAAGCATGCTATATTTTTTCTATTATATTTTTATTTTTGTTTCAGGTGTTGTTGGGTTTGCGCGAGGACTTTGGGTGAGCCCTGTGGGGGGCCTGGTGGTTTTTCGGGCCGATGTGAGCCCCCATATCATTGTTTAGAGAGCCCCACAAGGAACGTTGGAGTTTGTCAACGTGAGTCATTTTGTTATTTTAACACAACAAATTTTAAATATTTTCATGGATAGAAATATTTGAAATTTGTAATTTATATATGCAATTCAGACATTTGAACTTTGAATATAAGGTAGTCGAAAGTAACAAACAATTTATAACTCGCACTGGATTTATAAATTATAATATAAATTAAATAGAAGTTCTTTTATCCTTCATTTGTACTTCTAAAATTAATTAACAAATATCCCTTCTCACTGGGCCTCATTACGATACACCTGCCTTCTCAAGTACTCCTGGAACAAAATTTTCTCATTAAAACCACTTTTTCCGTTGGTCATAATCATTTTCTCGAGAATTACTTTTTCCACCGCCCCGAAAACCAGTATTTATTTGCATTTCCATAAGGAAGGCCACTCTGTAATACGATACAAGAGGAGTTTCTTATTTCGTAACCACTTTGGAAAGTTGAAAGTTTACTTTTCTACAAACATTCATCTTGGTTGTAATTTACTTGGCGATGTCGAACATACGACGAATTATTTGATACACTCTGTTGACTTGGGAAACCTTCGAGGGGAAATCGATAAATTTGACAAAAGTTGTTCGAGGAATATTTTCTTGACATTTGCATACTTTTTTACATGGTTTTTCTATGGCATGCTCAAACAACAATGAGATGTTTGAAGATTTTTTATAAATAGTCAGAAACATTTGATTGGAGATAGTGAAGTATCAAAAACTTCGAGAGAACATTGTGTTCCAAAACCATGTTTTACCTGTGGCAATATTCTAATCTGTATATACGTCAAACATTTCCTTTCCAAATGACTTACTCCTTG